TGATTAGACAACATGGAATGACCACAGATGATCAGATTACCACAACAACACAATAACATCGCTCGACTGACCACACGTCTCATCATCGATTGATCATCACCAAATACCAGCTGCTCATGGTAGAGAGCTGCCTTAGCGTCCACATCCTCCCCATCCTTCACGAATCTTCCTGATTCATGGTACTTGGCCAGGTCATGGTGAATCTGATCATGATGATGATGATGATGGTGATGATGATGATGATGATTAAGATGGTGATGATTAAGATGATGATGATGATATTCATAATAATTATTAACTCGACCAATCTATCCACCTTAACTAACTTTGTAATTATCATCATCATCAACAACAACAACAACACCATCATCATCAACATCATTATCATCATCGTCACCATCATCACTATCATCATCAACACCATTATTACCACCATCAACATCATCATCATCATCATCATCAACATCATCATCAACATCATCATCAACATCATCATCAACATCATCATCAACATCATCCCACCTTCCCGAGCACAGAATCCTGCATGACAACATCCACCGACCTCCTCTTCATTTCCATGGCCACACACGACGCCCTGGCTCCTCTCTTCAACGCCATCTGGATATTCCTTCTTTCTTCTTCTTCCTTATCATCGGCGTCATTTGATGGTGATATGTAATATTATTATATTTATAATATGAATCTTGTTGGATCGTCATCATCACATCACTATCATCACTATCATCATCATCATCAGTATCAGCAACAGCAGCAACGACACCTCATTCGTGGTTGCTGCAGCACTTCCTTCGGACTCACTGAAAAAACTTTTGTGGTCGTCGTAGCTGATGTTGTAGTTGTTGTTGCAGTTGATGTTGCAGCTGTTGTTGTTGCAGCTGTTGTTGTAGCTGTTGTTGCAACTGTTGTTGAATCTCGTGAAGGAGCCGGATGATCTAAAAGAAGAGGAATCTACGCCTTCATCACTGGTCGGTTGTTATCAAGTGTCGATGGTGGTGGTGGAAAGATGATTGGAAGAATGATGGTGATGATGGTGGTGGTAAAAAGATGGTGGGAAGAATGATGGTGATGATGTTGGTGGAAAGATGATGGGAAGAATGACGAGTATGATGATTGTGGTGAAAAGATGATGACGATGAAAGTGACAATGAAGATGATGATGATGATCTGGATCTAGCCATAACTCTTACAAGTTATTAATAATTGATGACTAACAAATCTCCTCTATCCAATTACCGACAACCAATCAGATCAGCTACCCAGCCATCACCTGACTAACTAACTTGTCATCACAGTCTGATGTTGTGGAGTTTGTTTTCAGGCGGTTTCTGAAGACAGCCATGGGGTCAGAGGTGAGGGAGTATGAAAGGTAAGGGGATGATCCAAGGTCAATGCCCTCCTCTCTGCCCCTCAAACGAGTCCCTTCGTATTTCTTTGCAAAATTATTTGTTGGCGTTTGTAAATGTCTGTGTACATGATTGAATGCATGCGCAAGCGTGAACGATTGTTTCTTACTATGTGACGTTTGTTTGCGAAAAGTGTTCCATGCAAGAGCTAAAAAACATACAATTTTTAAAACATTTTTCTTACAATTGTATGATAAAAAAAACTAACTTGAAATAAATGGAGAAGAAACAAATGAGAAAAACAAACTTCAAAGACATTGGCCTCCTCAACACAAACGTCAACTTCATTCTCCCCGTTATGACCTTGACCCAGTTCTTCTGACTCATAAAGGTCAAACTTGGCGAGTCTCAGTGACCTACAGATGTCATTGCATCGATGTGATTGGAAGAATAAGGCCATGCCTCTGGTGCCTGGTAGGTTGATGGTAGATCGGTCGATGAAATACTACATTACGCTATCAAACAATACACACACACACGCAAACACACACACACATTTTGTCGTTCATTTCCCGATATTCGCCATTTTTAAAACGTGGACAGTTTCTAGAATGTTCTTCCTGAGGAGTACGGTTCGCTGAATTAATTCATATCTCAGTTGCGTTCTTGCCATAAGCTTGGAGATAATGATTGCCGTGGATTTTAATCGTTATTCTACAACCGAAATTATCTTTTTGATAAAATTAATAAATAGTGATTGTAGTAAGTGACCAGGCGTATTTTGTAACGTTTCATTAGTTTATTTCATTCATTGTGCCTATAAAAAGCAAAATAAATGATGTAAAGTTGCATCTACAGCCGTATCCTGAATGCGTTGCAACGCATCTTTTTCATATCTAATCGCAAACATCCAGTTGTCCCAGTCTACATGCTTTCTGGAATCGATGAACGAAAATACAAAAACAATCCGGAACTTTTAACTCTTTTTCATTACCGAACTCGCCGTCTGAAATTAAATGTTTAGTGCCAATCGCGATCATCGTACTAAATTACATCCCAATAACAACGAAAGTTCCCAGCAACAAAAACAGAGATAGGAAAAAAACCTAATTTATGAAGTGAGTAAAGTATAACAAAAAAATTGTGCACGGTACTCAGCAGCTACCTACCTACCTACCTACCGACCTACCTACCTACCTACCGACCTACCTACCTACCTACCTACCTACCTACCTACCTACCTACCGACCTACCTACCTACCTCAAACAATAGACATCGATTTTTATTTGAGCTGTTTATTCTTCGCTCAATGGTGAAATCGTAAAATCCTAAGTTGAGAAACATGAGCATATATTAAGGAATATTTAAGCACTCACAGATAGACACATGCACAAATTTACAAGCACATACATAATGAATCTCATTAAATTTGTCCTTTGTTCCCATTCTTTGGAATCCCCTAAAGTAGCCTAATTGATGCAGAGCAGTTAAAATATTGGTGCACACTTTTAATGAAATATTAAAAATTTTGTGGTATATGCAGTCATCAATATCGAATATCGAGCAAATTGTCGTTGACGATTGCAGTTACACTTTTAAGTTGTTTATTAATTTTATTAAAAATGTGCATAGCACTCGACAGCAGCTACCGTCGTAAGAAACTGGAGGAATGATCGAGACGTTTTCGCAATTAGTTGTATCGTTGTCGTTCTTAATTGATGTGGCCGTTATCCCTAGCTGCTAACCTACCTACCTTAGTTAAACAATCAAATTTGATTTTATTGGCTGCTTATTCATTGTTCTACGGTGGCATCCTAAAACTCTGTGTTGTAAAAATCTGCGCATATATTGAGAAATATTCAGGCACTCACACATAGACACATGCACAAATTTACAAGCACATATATGATGAATCTCATTAAATTCGTTGTTTTGTTGAAATTCTTTGGAATCCTCCAAAGTAGCCTAATTATATTGTATAAACTTCTTTGTGAAAATATTGTAAAAAATTCAGTATATAAACAGTCATTAACGTTGAATATTGAGCAAACTGTCGTTGATGATTGCAGTTACACTTGTAATTTTTTAACTAATTTTATTAAAAACAAAACAATGGTTGTAGAATTAGAGGTAAATGATAAGAACACAAATGATTCAGAGGATCTTCTAGAAAATGAAGATGTATCAAATCATCAAATACTTTCTAACGAAAGCAAATTGAACAAGAAAAGAAAGTTTGAAAACAATGCTGATGATGACGTCTCTGGCAACAAGAGTGATGCTGACGTTGATGAAGAAAATGATGATAAAAACGTTTTTCCGATAGAGGCCACCGAAATTAGAAACTGTGAGGCATCTAATTGTGAAAACAACTCGAACATCCCTCCTGTTTCTAAACAGGCTAAATATGAATTATCTAATGGAAATGAGTTTAGCGAAAAAACGTTGAGCGTCAGTGAGAGAGTTTTGAGCAAATTGGATGAAAGGTGCAAGCTGGAAAGACACAAATTATATCACTCGAAAGGTTTCTACAAAATAAGCAAATTTTGTAAACACCTCACCAGGACCAACTGTCAACTCCATAAGACGAACTGTGATGAGGTACATTACAAAAAAATCTTCAACAAATACACTAATGTAATACTTGGAGACTGTTGCTACCTCAATTTCTGCTTTAACGAAAGATGCCAATATATTCACTATGAACTTGATGTTTAGATTAACTTAGGAATGTAGTTGTTATTGAGTTTGTCTTGTTTCATTGTATATAAAACTGTTGCTTGTATCAAAGTTTATGCCTTAATAAACGTTTAATTATCTCATTTGTTTCATTTTATTGTGATAATATAATCGAACATCTCAAAACTCTAACAGAAAATAAAATGAAATATCACAAAATTAATTGTACATTAATTGAAACAACACTTTTATACAACTCAACTTTCACATTAACATATCAAACTAATTTTATAAAACATTAACTTGACAATTAATTCTAAATATAAATGAAAAATCAAGCACTTAAAATTAGAAAAGCACCGAATGTTAGGCCTGGCCGAAGTCAAGCAAAATTTGACATCTCGGCCTAAACCGAATAGTCTGAATATTACAAATTTTGTTTTAGCCATCACTTTTTGCCGTTTTAGAAACAACACTAGTTGGCGAACATTTTTTCGGTTATTTGATAACTGTTAGAGTGTAGGATAATAATTTTTTTTAAATATTTTCACGTAAATCATTTAGATATTACCAAGCAAAAAACGTATTTTGAAAAAACTTCAATTTTTAATCAGAGTTCGAGGTCTGCAGTTTAATTTTTAATGTAAGAAATACTATTTATAATTCAGAATTCCGAGTTAAAAATTTTAACGGTTCAAGTTGTTGATCGTTTGATTTTGTTTTCTACCCTATCAATCTAAGTTTCAAATCAATCAAAACTAGTGAATCATCTTAAATCAATATTTGAAAGTCTAAAAGGCCAAAAAAATGGAAACCGACTGAGAATAAATTTCAAAAATTCGAATATTAATCGCCAAATGTCCCTCCGGCAGGTGCACCGGTCAACAAAAATTGAATATTAATGTGACTACCTCGTCGCAATCACACCGTCTCACCATGCACAAAAGAGGAGGCGTGAGATCACATTTGAAAATGACGCAAAACGATACAACACTAGAACAATCTACAGCAACAATAATCACATCCATCTAAAACTTGCCTGAAACAATTTTCATTGACATCAGGCAACAACCTATCAACAGAAAAACAGAAAATAGCTACATCACTACCGTCTCGACGAGTGGTGTTGAATTCTATAACTTAGTCAAACATCGTAAATTGCACTAAAAATTAGTTACATACACACACGCGCGCGCGCACACACACATACGCACACACACAAACACACTAAGAAAGAAAAGAGCAGCACAGACCGAGATTTCCATCCCCATATTTGAGACCGTCGTCTGTATGGATCTGAGGGTCAGTCCATAGGTCGCCGACCCCCTGGATGTCCACAACAATCAAGCGATGGCCCGAATGCTCGAATGTGAAATGACTGAATGCCTGTGCATGTTCAATGTGTGTGTGTCTGTGTGTATGCGTGTCTGTGTGTATGCGTGTCTGTGTGTGTGTGTGTTGTGTATGTGTGCATTGATAAAAATGTGTACACATGATGACGGTGATGGTGACAACAGTAGTGGTTCTTAACAATAGGACGGCGATGATATAATCCAGATGCAGTGGAAACAATTTCAATAATAACAAGAATATATATTAAAAAGTAATAATAATAAAATTAATGACTAATTAAATGTTGTTCATATTAAAAACCTAGGATGATGACGATGAGTGTTTACTGTTTGCACTAAACATGATGGCAAGGTGCAATAACTTGGGAAGGTCTTTCATTATTACAGTTGTTCTTGTTTTGATAGTTGAATTTGGAGGGATATACGTACGTATTACATACATTTTACATACTACTACATTTTACATTTTACAGACATTTTTGTATGGTTGTTTTTATTTAATGTTGTTATTTTGGTTGCTATTGCATTCTGGATGTGGTTGATTTTTATCGAGAGTAATGGCTTTAAGTAATAAGGTAAGAAAGAAAATATTGAAACCATCCATTAGGAATGTTTGATAGATAAACTCGAAAAAGTCATTAAGGTTCTAAATGAGAAAATGGCAAAGAAGCAAATTAAAATGATCTGGATGTTTTGCTTTGAAAATCCTAAAATGATAATGAAGGCAGGTCTACAATGCACATCATCATCATAACAATAGTATCATCTTCATAACAATATCATCATCATAACAATACTATCATCATCATAACAATAGTATCATCATCATCGTCGTCGTAGCCAGCTGACCTGTGGTGTCATTCGAAGACTTTCTTCAACGAAACCAGAGTTAGAGTTGTATTTGATGTAGTCACCATGGATGTAATGTTCTAAATGAAAGAAGGGACGGTCGGGACGATCCTTCAACTCCAACACACTCATCTGCAGGATATCCACCTGCATGCAATGTTGGCCAGATTGTTTGTGTGCATGCGCGTTTGAGTGCTTGCTTGTGTGTGTGTGTGTGTGTGTGTGCGAGTGTACGTGTGTGTGTGTTTGCTTATGTTCAGACATAAAGAAAGATACACAGATTGAGTAACAGACAAAGATGAATAGACAGATGGACAGTCAACCAGCCAATCAGCCAACCTGCTTAGGAGGTCGAAGTCTATTGTAGGCCTCCCCACACAATTTGGCATCCATCTGCAGTTGAACATCCAACTTGTAGACCTCCTCACTCACCTCCTCCATGTACTGCTTGGCCACGTAGTTTCGAGATTGCGAACTCCAATCCGCTAGCTCGTGGGCCATTGTCTTCCTGAGAAGTCGTTGGGGTTTTCGGTCAGTTAGGATTAATATAACTGACCAGCAATATTATTATTGTTGTTATTGTGAGTATTATTCTGATACTATCATTGTTGTTATTATTAGTAGTAGTATTAGTATTCATATCATCCCTCTTATTATTATTCCTGTTATTAGTATTATTATAACGTTCTACCTCGGGAAACCGGGTCTGATTGATTGATTGATTGATTATTAGTATTATTATTATTATTATTATTATTATTATTATTATTATTATTATTATTATTATTATCAGTTACAACAAGAGACTACTTACATGATTTCAGTGAAAGATTGCTTGTCAGATTTGTGGATGTTTGTCAGCTTCTTACTAAAATTATAATTTAAAAAAATAATAATAATATAATATAATAAACTATAATAATGCTTACGGTGATGAGTATATTTTGATTAATTTATTATGCATATATAGAAATATAAACAAATATATTATGTCTATATCGGTGAACAAACTAATTTTACATTAAATAAATTAATAATAATTTTACCCATATAATAATTTATTCATAACTTCACAGGTACCTAACCCATACAGAGTAGATATTCATGCCTTGCCTAATACAATACTGAAGTCATTTAATGACTATGTATTTTTTCATTCATTCATTAATTCATCCATAAATTAAAATTTAACAACTTTATCAACTGAATCTAATATATATTTTTAACAATAAACAGTTGGCTAAAATAACAAATTCATTTATTTTAATAACTATTTAAAGTTTCAATTTTGAAAAATTAAATAAAATAAACAAATTTAATTAACATCTTTTTCAAGTGGAATGAACAAGCAAGTTTACATGTTACGGTAAGGAAGATCAGTAGTAGCCAAAGTTATTTTAAACAATCAAATGAAAAGAAAGGCAGGCATATGAAATTGAAATATGGTTAAATAAAAGATAGTATAATGACAAAAAATAAAAATAATAACAAAATAATAATATTAATAATGATAATAAAAATAAAGATACAATAAGTGGATTTATAGTAACAATATATTGAAAAATTATTTTAAAGCAACGTTCCAGAACTAACAGCCTGTAGCATGTCCTCATGGCACCACTGTTGAAAGGCTGTAGGTATTTATTTTTAAATTTGTATTCACTTATCAAACAGGTTCTATCTTGAAATGATTCACAAATAATTCTTCAATAAATTAATTTAACATATTATAAATATTTTTTTATTAAAATCTTATTAAATTGTAATAAAATTTGAAAAAATGAACAGTGACCACAGTTGAACTTGTGACCTGACCTCATTCTCCATCTTGATGATGACATCATCCTTGACCCACTCCCTCTTCTTTGCATTGTACCGATGCCTGATTGCATGTTCGGCCGGATAGTTGTACAGTTTGAACTTCTTCCAAGGATCTTTCAGTTTGTGCAACTTTTCCACTGCCATGTGCCATCTTGATTGTTATGCAAAAATTCAAAAATAAAATGTTTTAATTTTTACTCATACATGTTTTATGTTCCAGATGTAGATGAACATTAAAGGAAAATTTATTTTCTACCATCCTAATTATAATTCTATTACTAAATATAAACTGTATGAACCTCCAACTCCAACAAATTATTATTCTCATTATCATTACTTTAGAACTTTTTAAATGCTAATTCAAAAAGATTTTAAGTTATAATAAAATATAAATAAATAAATATAAACATATAATAACATAATATAAATAAATAAATATAAACATATAAAAAAATAATGTCATAATGTGATGAATGATGGTAATTATTATGATTGACAAAACCTGTCTAATGGGTGGATAGTTGGTCGAGCAGTTGTCGGAGTTGTCAGGTCGACCCCGCTGTCCAATGCACTTATCCTTTTTGAGATGTCGGCTGGTATGTTGCCAAATAGCAAAGACCTCCGACGTTGTTTCAACGTCATCAACGGTTGGAAGCCATTTCTTAAATTCGGCCGAAGTTCTTTCAAGTCGTCGCCATCGCTATGGTGGCATCCTATTCTTTCGCTGTCATTGTCAATGTCGGTGATGGCGAAAATTTCCGGTTCGTCGTTGTCATTGATGTCTTCTGTGCTGCTCCGTTCATTCTCGTCACCTGACAGGTCCGGGTCTGCTTCACTTTCGTTATTGACGGATTGCATTTTAATTTGGTGGTAGGTTAGAGTTAGACTAAGTACGGTTTGTAGTATTAAATTAAAGGACAGTATAGTATAGCTTATAGATAGTGGATAGCCGATAGGTCGTGTTTATTAATTTAAAAAACTAACTTCTAACTAGACTAAAAAAATAAAAACAAAACTAGTCCTTGATTAAATAAACATTTTATGCAGAATTAACTCTAAGCGTTTCTTCAATATTCAAATAAAATCGACTCTTGTTTCTTTAATTTAATGAATGCGTACGGTCGCCAACTTGCTCTCTTCCCAGCTGGTCCACACAAACCTTCAAATTAAAAAAAAGTGAACTAATTTCTGAAGTAAACAAGTAAAGGTGAATGTAAGTCTTTAGGCCTCCTTTAAAATGATTCTTCTATAAAAATCTATATACATATATAACATCTTTATGCTACGAATGATCAGTGGACATTGAAATGAATTTTAATAATTTTAAAATTTTTTATAATTTTAAATGTTTTGTCGATTACGCCAAAGCTTTTGATAGCGTCAAACACGTGGAGCTTATATCAGAAAATTTGGACATTAAAAGACACGAGGGTTATCAGAAACCTCTATCGGGAGCAAAGAGCAGTGATGGAAGTTGGTTACAAGATGACTAGTTTTGTTGAAATAAAGAAAGATGTTGGGCAATATGAAAATTAGTTGGACCTCTCATATTTCAAATGAAAAGGTTAAAAGGTTGTTAAATGAGGGTGTATTAAAACAGTCCGGTTATGAAAAGAGGAATTTACTACAAATAATCCGACGGGGGCAGTTTTTCGGTCACATCATGCGGAAGGAAAAAATTGAAAATCTAACAACTACTGAAAAGATTGCGGAGAAAAGAGAAAGTGGCTACTACTTGCTTATTTCCCAGTTGACTCTGTGTTGAAGAACGTATTTAAAAATTAAATAGTGTCTATCTATCTATGCAAACCAATAGTACTTTTATTTGATGACTTTTTGAAATTTACATTAAAATCATATATTTGAATCGACTTTGCACGTGTATTTATGATTACCTACAATCCTATGCTATTTCATCCAGCTCTACTCCATACCACAAGACTGTCCCGTGAACGCAGTGGGAAGCAATTTGACGTTAAGATATGTATTTTCATCATTTTTACAAATAAGTCATAATTTATTCATAATTTATTTTAAAATTCCTCGACTAATAAAAACAAAAAAAAAAACAAAAAACTCTGTTACAAAATTAGAAATGTTAAGACTTCATCGGTCCAGTTTTTTAAAGCTATCACAAATTAAGGCGATCTACAATAGAATGTGACCACGAAAATTGTTTAAAATAAAACAACCCGTAAGCAAGCTAGCTGAGTCTCTGTTAACTTCGGCTATAGAAATATGGTCAGTTTTTAACTTATTAAAAATAAATAATAAAGGTAAATAGGGCACTTGGAGAAATGAAGTTAAAATAAACTGAAATCACAATTTAAGCAATATTTGGAAAAAAATATGTTTAGATTGGTGTTTGTTTATTTCCGTGAAATGATTTTAAGTGAAAAATTGTTATTCAACGTTTATGTACAGTAAAATTTCAAAAATTTGAAAATCAGACGAAAAATATTTTAAATGGAAAAAAAACCACTGCCACAGTTGAGACATGAAAAAAGATGTCAAATAATGGAGTTGCCTGTGGTGTACTATCTAGTGCTGGTTGCATCGTTATAATAATTTTTATAATATTATTAATCATTGTTTATAAATTTTGAATTTTGTGTGGGAATGATTTTTTTTCTTTATAAATAATTAAATCGAAATGTTGTTAAATGTTAATAGAACGAAAGAAGGCATTCGACGTTAATGTTTATTCAAATTGTCTTTTCTAGCGGTCAACTCTTAAAAATGTACGGAACATTCGCAGTTATAAAAAGTCAAGTTAAGAGATTTGTCAGATGATTATATCGGTGGTGGTGATGACACTAACAGCTTTAATATTAACGATGATGATTATTATGATTATGATGATGATTTACGCTCTTTAAACAAAAACTGGTTGAAGCTTTTTGACTGGTTGCTTGAAGAGTTTAGCAGCTGAAAAAATTGAACGCTGGTTTTTTTCGGATTGGTTTGAATGATCTGATGAGTGAATGTTTGGAGATGAGTTGTGTTGTTGTTGTTTGTGCTGTTGTTGTTGTTGCTGCTGCTGTTGTTGTTGGCGGTGGTTATAATGTTGATTGAATAAAAGTTGTTGTTGATGTCTATGTGGTGGTGGATGCTGATGTTGTTGCAATTTTTTCTGTTGTTGCTGTTGTTGTTCCAAAGGAGACAAAATCTCTCGCAACCTAGCCAGTCTAATATTTTCCAGCTGCTTTTGTGACTCGATCAAGAGTTCTTGAAAGTTCTCTAACTTGAGAAGCTCCTGGTGCAGTGATTGTTCAGCAAAGGGGAGGTGTTTGTTTTCTTGCAAATATTCAATTTTATCCCTCGACTTGACCAGTTGTCGTTGGAGTTCTTGGAGCTGTTGTACGTGGTGCATCAGCTGCTGTGAGCTGTTGTGGAACTGGTTGCCTGGCTGATGTGAATCTCGTTGTTCTTGTTGTTGTTGTTGTTGTTCTCGTTCACGATCAGGGTGTTGGTGTTGAAGTTGTTGTTGTTGATGCTGTTGATGTTGTCTAGGTTGGACCACATCTGAAATTTGTTTTTTGTTCTTAAATTTTGAAATTAAATCGTTTCCAAGAAATCCAACACCTGCCAACACTGGCTGCTGTTGATGGCTTTGTTGTTGATGAATTTCTTTCTGTTGATATTCTGGGTGTAGTAGATAATTTTTTTTTAACTGTTGTTGTTGCTGTGAAATTTGGTTGTTGTGTTGAGTTGGAAGGAACTGTTTTTTACTCATCTGTTTATGTTTTGTATTTTTGTTAGCAGCACATGATTTGATTGATTTCAAATATAAAACATCCTTATTGTCTTGCTTATTTAATTCGAGCAAATTCACTTTACCTTGGACATTTTCAGATTTGTTGAAAATTTTGAAGGCAGTTGTTTTGTTGGATAGGAGGAGAGATGATGAGGATGAACAAGTTTTTTTCTTTATTTGAGGACATTTAAAGTTCGGCATCTTATTGATGGAGACCACAGATGAGGAAGAAGAGGAAGACGATGATGCTGCTGCTGATGATAGTGGGGGTGGATTGATGGGAAAGAAATGTTGTTGTGGAAGAGGAACTGGTGGTTTTCTAAACAAACTTGATGGTCCGATTGATGAAAAGGCATGATTGAAGGATCTGGATAGAGAGTTGTGCAAAGCTGTTCGTTGAAGTCGATTTTTCTGTTGTTCTTCTTCATGTTTTGGTAGTTGCAGAATTTGTAAATTTGGCTTGTGTTGTTTCTGTACGCTTTGTAGTTGCTGGTGTCGTAGTTGCTGTTGCGGCTGCTCTTCAACCAGCTCGTGAACGTCTCTGCTACTCAACACGGCGTTTTGTTTCCAGAAAGACAGCTTTTGAACGAGTGGTAAGGTCGCGACAGAAAATGCTTCTTAGGTTGCTGTGATTTCTGCTGCAATTGCAAATTGTTACTTTGTTCTTGAATTATTGGTCTATTAGTTTCTTGCTCTTGCTTTCTTAATTTAGAATGTTTTTGTTCTTGAGAAATTTGCTGCAGCTGCTGTTGATGGCGTTGTTGTTGTTGCTGCTGCTGCTGCTGTTGTTGCTGCTGCTGTTGTTGTTGTTGTAATGGTTGAAGTAAAACACTTGATTCCTGTTTTTGTTGCTGTCTTAAAAACTGTTTCAGTTTTTCCTGCTGCGTTTTCCTTTGCATCTGCAACTTGCGTTGAATTTTATCGTTCAACAGCATCTTTCTTTTGTTATTTTCCTGCCAAATTTGGTTTCTGTCGATTTTGTTTAATTTATAATCAGCATTAAAGGTTACTTTATTTTTTGGTTTCGTTGCTGTTGGTAAGTCTCCAACAGTAATGCTCTGCAATTTTTTCAACTTTTTTTTTTCAATTTTCTTATAGACCTCGAACAAGCGTTCTAACTTGGCATTCAATGACAAAATATCGGATCCAAGATCGTTTATTTTGCTGTTGTTGTGTTGCTGCTTTGGTTGCAGTTGTTGCATTTGTTGTTGCTGAGTAACATGTTTGTCTCTAGATCTTTTGTTGAACGTTGGAATCTTACTGGAAGTTGTTGCGGTCGACCCAGCCTTGAACTTGTTCGTTCCACCAGTTGTGTGTGTGGCAGCATTGGAACTGGACCTTTTTGTAGTAACCGTGGTGGTTGTCGTAGTTGTTGCAGTTATTATCGTTGACGTGAATATTTGACCAAATTTAGGAATTCTCGATGAACTCTTCTTACCCACGCCGAGACTTGCGACTAAATGTTTCTGATGCTTTTTAGTGTTTCTGAAGTGTTTTACGACCTCGTTGTTTTCGAAAGAGTTGCGAAGGTTGTCGTTATCATTGCTACTATAACCGGAAGTGCCAGTCATATTGAGATCATGTGTGACGTCATGGTCATGTGACGATGAGTATCCGGAACTGTCCAGTAGGATTGGTGTCGGTTGTTTTCTGTTGGCGGTAGGATGATGATCGGTCAGAAGATGGATGTGATAATGGCAATGAATGTGATAATGTAAAAGTTTTGAGGATGGTAATGGTAATAATTTCAATTGTTTAAAGTAATAATACTAACCGTGATTTTGTCGGTGATGATGTTTTGGCTTGTTTTGAAATGTTCTCCCTCTTGTCGATGAACGGTCTGTTAGGTTTGGTTTTAGTTGCTATTCCAATGGGACTTTTGCCGAATTTGTTGGAAAAACTTGTTGAAGTGGTAATAGTAGTAGTAGTTGTTGTTGTCGTTGCTGTTGTTGTTGCTACAGTTGATGTTATAAATGTCTTTTCAGCTGTGCTACTTAACAATTTTGGTATTTTTGAGGCGTTATTTTCAGCATTGTATGCATAAAAATTGTTGAAAATGTTGGTTTTGTTGTGAATGTTTTTGCTCAATTTATGGGTTTTGTTAATTGCTTCAACATTTTGTAGCACTGGAATGTTTGTGGGGCCAACTATTTTGGCTTTTCGCCGATGTTTCATTTCTGGAACGTTGCTGATTAAATCAGGAGGTGATGCCATTGTTGTGGTGTTATTTGTTGTTGATGAGGATGATGTTTTTGTTGATGTTGTTGTTGTTGATGTTGTTGATGATGTCATCCCTGTGCTAGTTTTAATTGATGACTTTTCAGATGGTGAATAGTCGCTCAATTTCCGGTGCAACTGAATTTGGTTGCGTTTGTGATTGTTGTTGTTGCTGCTGCTGTTGTTGTTGTGAAAAGTGTGACCTTTTATCCCATAGATGCTGCTACTGCTTATAAATTCTAATTTAGAGGTCAGATTGCTTCTGCCGTGGGTGTGGTTTTGGTTTGGATCATCAAAAATATTCCGTTGTAATCCAATTGTGTTGTCAATATTATAGCCCGAGTATTCATTGTCGTTTGTCGGTGTAGTTTTTAAGAGTTCTCCATTTTGTAGTTCCTGTCATTTAATGAGTCCAAATTACTATCCTCATTCGTTATTATCATAATTATATCACTATTATTAGTACTGTTATCAGCATAATTTATATCGTTATAGTCATCATTGCTAACATGAAGACACCATGATTCATGATTCACCATTTATCACTTCATCACCATCATCTTTATCGTTATCGTCGTCGTCAACAATCTTTAGCAGATATTCTTTAAATATTTTAAATATATAAACAAATCACAATTGCAGCAATTAGCGTGGAGATAATTATCTCCAATCTTTTTGCTTAAAACCTTTTAATTAATTATGATGACGACAATGATGATGTTGGTGATGATGTTTAATTATATTTATGAAAAACTTCGACTCATAGCCCTATAATATGAAAGCAGTCTAGCGTTTGTCAAAAATGCGTAATAACTGTATAAACGTGATTGTATCAATATATATATTTTATTCATACGTACACTCACCTTATCTACACTATCGAGTTCTATTTGGTTGTTGTTCGTTGTTGGTGTTGTTGGGGTTGTCGATGCTGTATTAGATATGTTGTTTTCATTTTGCTGTTGAACTGATGTTGTCAATGAAGTTGCTGACAAAGGCTGCTTAAGTATGCCGGTCAATTTCCGGTCATGTGACGTTAAAGATGACCTTCGAACTCCAGGGATGGGAATCAAGGTCACAGTTACTGTTTTCGTCGGTTTTGTTGTTGGACTTGTTAAAGTTGTTATGGTTTCTGTTGTTGTTATGGTTGTTGTTGTTGTTGCAATTAATTTGCTCAACCTAATTGGAATTTTTGATTTGTTGCGGTTGTTGACATCTTTACTAGCTGTGCTATTAATGTCATCAATATTGTTGTTTCCTTTGTTGTTGCTGGTGTTGTTAGTAGTTGTTTTATGAACAGAGTCGTTGTCAACATTTGGATACTTGTTGACACCATAGGGTGAGTTATCATTTTTGTTGCTGTCATTTGTTTCAACGTTACTGTTAATGTTATCGTCGTCGTTAGCATAGTTGTTGTTGTTTGTGGCGACAGTGTTATCAATGTTGTCATCATCATCATCATTATTAACATTATTACTATTACAAGAGTTTTTATTAAGGTTAGAGATATCGTTCTTATTGGAATGAACACCATTACCTTCGTCACCCAAGTCATCATCATCACGTAGACGGTCACAGATGTTGCTAGAGAAATCTGAGCCTGGTCTAGTAAAATTACTACTACACGTAGTAGAAGAAGAAAGCAAATTATTAGTAACAGCTGAAGTATTAGCAGAAGTCGTAGTAGCAGCTGTGGTAGCAGTAGTTGTAGTTGCAGCATTAGCAGCAGCTGTGGTAGCAGTAGTTGTAGTAGCAGCATTAGTAGCAGCTGTGGTAGCAGTAGTTGTAGTAGCAGCATTAGTAGCAGCTGTGGTAGCAGTAGTTGTAGTAGCAGCATTAGTAGCAGCTGTGGTAGCAGTAGTTGTAGTAGCAGCATTAGTAGCAGCTGCAGCAGTATGAATAATCGACGTGTTTGTATTTTCCATTGTTTATTCTTTTCGAGATGAAATATTTTCTTGATACAAAAATTTTAAGTTATCAGAAAAAATAAATTCATGAATGTGTAATAATCAGAAAGTTATAATGTACCGTGAGGCTAGCGCTCTCACGGTCGCTTCTTAGTACAACTCTGACTTTGGCTGTTCTAATTCTTTTCTCACTTTGTGATTTTTTTTACTTTTCTCTCTCTTTCCCTCTACCTCTCTCTCTCTCTCTCTTTCTTTCCCTAAATTTTTGATATGTTTCCGTCTTTTTTTCTACTTCCCTTCCTTCTTCTATCCTTTCTTTCTGAACACACACACACACATACACACAAACACACACACAAACACACACACACACACACACACACACATATATATATATATATCAATACATATAAACTACGAGTCTTTTGTTTCTGTTTCAGATAAATAAAAAATCTTTTGAATCTGATTTGAATTTGATGTAATATGGTGTGCATATAATTAAACTGTCAACCTATTCCCACGGAATTCTTCCGAGAAAATTTATGAATAACGTTATTAAATTGGAATGAAAGTGAATTATTGTTATGGCGAAAAATTAATTCTAAAAATTTAGCTTAATTAAAATTAAGTAGAGTAAAAATATGATTAAAAAATATTTCCTTCAAATATGAGGCAGGCCAACTAACCTGTCAGGGATCGTGTGATTAAATATAACTCGAGTTGTATTTTTATATACAAAAGTTTTATACAAATTGTATAATATACAAAGGTATGTAACTAGATACAATACAAAAGATGTGTGTATTATACAATACAAAGTTATACAAATACAAAATTTATACAAGACAATTATGAATTCAATGCAAATATACAACCGAACGTTAAGCGACAAACAAGTTTTCAACATCACTTCAGTTTAATTTTCACTCTATTATTCATTCATCCATTTGTCGTTCGTTCAATGCTATACTATTTAGTCTTCTTCAGTCTACTCATTTGAATATAAACGTATGAAGGTAGGCAGGTAGGTAAGTAGGTGTGCACACATGTCACATTGATTACTGTGATGAAGATGATGCTTGTGAGGAAGATTGGGATTATGATGAAAATGATGATGGTGGTGATGGTGATGAAAATGATGATGGTGATGATGGGGATGGTGATGAAGATGGGAATGGTGATGGTGATCTCCACGATGAGGATACAAATTTCGATGATGATGATCACTATGATATGGATGATGAGGATGAAGATGGTGATGATGGCGGTGATGGAGATAGGATGGGTTTATAAGAAGGAGAATGATGACGACGATGAAGAAGATGATGATGAAGATGATGATGATGAAGGGGAGGAAGACATTAACATGTTGTAGATGATGATGATGAAGATATATAGGATTATAATGACGATGATGTCTGGGACGACGATGATGATGATGATGACCGGATGACAATGACTAACGATAATAGAGATGAAACTTATTTTATCAGCGATGAAGATGCGAATTATGGGGAATCAAAACAGGATGAGTTAAAAGAAAAAATTGAGTGCGGTTGATGGCGTATTCTGCCCTTGTACAAACCAACACCTACTACCATTTAATACAAATACTGTATAACACAAACATACACACACACGCACACAAACCCACACACACGCACAAATACACAAACAAACATTGTTTTAAAGCGCTCTGAAGTCAACGGCCTCTTTACTTGCTCCTCAAACATTTTTGCAGTTACCGCATTGAAATCAAATTTCAAACCTTTACATGATTCGGCGGAGTGTTAAACAAATGAAGCAAAAAATTTATACATAAACTATTACAAGAAACATGCCCGATACAAATGTAGCACTTATAAGTAATTATTTTTGCTTCGATCCGCAGGTTATGTTATAATTATAACATACAACGAGTGCAACACACTGCAAAATGATTGTACCATTTCTTCTTGCAACACCTGTTAAACTTACTTTATGTGCAAATTGTGGCTTTGTATATGCGTGCATGATGTATGTTATTTTGTGTGATGTATTTGTTGCTGATCATCGTGAATCTCACTGTGAAAAGACTCTTTGTTCTCTCTCCTCTCTCTCTCTCTCTCTCTCTCTCTCTCTCTCTCTCTCTCTCTCTCTCTCTCTGTCTCTCCCTCTCTATCTGAGTGTGTATGTATGTGTGTATATGTGTGTGTGTGAGTGTGAGTGACGTATTTGAGTTTGGCGATAAAACCCCGACACTGTGCAAAGTCCTAGGGTATTTCATTGGCGTTAAGTACGTGCAAATATTAAGAGGCACAGGTGCGTTTTGTTTAAGAATTCGCTCGTCTCAGATTTTTTTTAAAAATCTATTTATTAATTTATTCTGTAGTACGATCATTTTTTAGTAAATAGAAAAAAAATCATATATTTTCAAATAAGAAATTTAATACATTAAATGATTGGAGCGATTTCGTGAGCCGACGGATGAACTTGGTCGTGGAGGTAGGAAGGAAGGAAATGGATGTTTATGGGAGTGATGTTGAATCAATCATCTCAATACTCCCAATTTATTCTCCGTACACCTTTTGCAAGGTGGCTGAAGAGGGCCAATAAGTTGCTCGACAACTTCAAAATAGCCATCCTGTCTTAATTTTGTTTGGAAGCTAATAAAATATGATCTGGAAGAGTGAGTCGTTGAGGATTAAGATGGAAAATTCTGAGGAAAACTACCTCGTGTGTTTATTGTAAAGTTGTGGAATTATGGAACTGATGATGACTGGGAAGAAAATATATTGAAGACTTTCTGATCAAATCAAGCAATTTAAACAACAGTTACAGATCGATAAATATTTTTTTCATTTAAAAATAATCTAAACAACGTTGACTATACAAAGTTAAACATACAAAGTTAAGCATACAAAGTTAAATATACAATGTTAAACATAAAAAGTTAAATATACAATGTTAAACATACAAACGCAGGCATTCAAACACATTCATAAACTCTAGTAATGAAAAGCAGTTATCGTTTCATAGGTTTATCACCACCTTAAACTATACATACATTTGTGTGTGTGTGTGTGTGTGTGTGTGTGTGTGTGTGTGTGTGTGTGTGTGTGTGTGTCTTGCTTCAATATCTCACATAAAGGGCATTGTTGTACACATTGTATATGCAGTGTTGTATAGATTACTTTTGGAAAGTAATCTGATTACAAATTTCAAATTACTTTTAAAATTAGCTTGAGATTACAAATTACAGATTACTTTGCAATGATGTGTCCGATTACAGATTACATCATAAGAATTTCATTTAATGAATGTCATATAGTCTTATGAATTATTGAATTATTGAATTGTAATTATTCATAACATATTTTAAAAAATTGTATTTTTTGTAAATTTCATGAAATTTCAAACAAGTTTGAACCAGAAGCGACTTTGCTTATCCTGCTTCATAACGCTCTTGAGCAGACCAACTTTTTAACATTACGTGAGCGGTCTAACTAAAAAGCATACGACGTCAATGGATAAACTATTTCTTTTTGAATAAGTCTTTTTTTTAGTTTTTTAACTTTAAATTTTAAAAATCTTAGGTGTTGTTGTCGTTAAAGTAATCTAAAATAAAGTAATCGGACACCTGCTTAGATTACAAATTACACAAAAAAATGTAATTTGATTACAGATTCAAAAAAATGTAATTGATTACGTAATCGGATTACTTGTAATCCGATTACTATACAACACTGTGTATATGTAGTTGTGTATGTGTATTGTATTGTTGTATATTGCATACTTATTGTGTAAACGTATGTGTGTTGCGTGTACTAGCATACAATAATTTTAACTATGTATTTTTTCGTATTTAACGATAAAAATACAATAATATCAGCTACATATATTTATTTATTTTGTAACCATATCTGTATAAACAGTAAAAATAAAAAAATAATAACAATAATTCACTAACAACTAAAATAACGGCAAAAAATCAATAACAGTAAAAAAAATCACAACAACATCATCAACAACGTCAGCAACAACATCATCAACAACGTCAACAACAACAACAACATCAACAACAGCAACATCAACAACATCATCAACCACCGTATTAAAAAAATCAAAAACGAAATACGAAATATATCATATCAAAACAAAACACTGATGAATAACGACAACAATAATAAAAAAAATAACAATTATAATTATCATTATTATTATTATTTTCGTTGAGTCAGCGAGCAGCACCTGTCTATGATAAATGAATGAATTTATAAATAGATGAATGAATGATTGAATGAACAAACGAACGAACGAACGAACGAACGAACGAACGAACTAATTAATTAATTAATTAATTAATTAATTAATTAATGACTTTGTTTGTCATGAATCAATTCTACGGAATTAAAACTAAGCAAATCGTTATTCTCGTTACTAATAGAAATTTTTTATGAAACGAGACATTTTTTATCGCTATTCAAACGAGACAAATTTTAAAAAATCCGGTACCGAAATAAAAAAATTTTGTCTCGTAACCTTATAACAAAGTCTCAAAATTGGAGACAAATACGATGAAAAGAGACCAATTGTAAAATAATTAAATTCCGTTGAAAATGATAACGGTCACATTAATTGCTATTTTCACAGCTACATGGCCGTTTATAAAGCTTAATTATCATATCAAAAAGTAAAAGTGAATAAAATTTTACACCTTTTGATCTTAACTATGAATTTTTAAACTGAAATATTGATTGTAAACATATATAATATTGAAATGATGATCGTAAAACACTAAAAACCGTAACTAATGATAACGGTTTCGCATAATTATTACATTCCCAGCTTCATACCAAAAAGTTAATAAAACTTGTTTTTTTGATCGTAATCTATAAGTTTTTAAACAGAACTATTGTCTGTAAACCAATATATTTAATTTGTAAGGGTTGTAAAAAGTAAAACAATTAAAACCGTAACTAATGAACTCGGTCAGGCATAATTGTCACATCTCTAGAATTTTAAACTCTCTCCAACTTTCACTTTGGTAGCCAATTGTTGTTTGTAAAAATAGGGCGGCCATTTGAAATTTCGCGTGGTAAATTATTGTTATTTTTTGTTCCACTATTTTATTAAATTTTCCTTTATCAAATTTAAGAATTTATTTTTTTAATATAGGATATCCGCAATGTCGAAAGACAGTAAAAAGGATACATTTTTTTGCATAGCTAATTGCTTGCCAGTTAAAAGTAAATTAGCGAAAATCCAGCAAAATAAACAGAAATCAAAATCGCTGAACAGTGGTAACGCTGGTAACGGTAACCGCCGTCACGACATTAATGAAGATAGTTCGATTTACGGAAGTGCATTTTTTGATCAAAGCAAAATGAGCCACACGAGACAGTGGTTGCAGAACCTCAGCACTGTTGCCAGCTTTGATCCCGGATCTATGTTACACGATTCTCATCTTGAAACTTTCAGACTAGATGGCAATGATGATGAAGCAGACGAAAAAGAGAACGAGAACACCATGATATGTGATGATGACGAAGCAGCATACTCACGTTCCAAGCCTGTTCACGAAAGTGCAATGGACGACACAAATGATTCTTGCGACATTAAATTAAAATATGCTCTTGAATCGAAACGAAATAATGCCGCACCTGCAGCATCAAACCCCAGACAAAGTGCGTCAGATGACAGCATTGCAAAAGCCAAAATAGAAAACTCGAGTATGTTGTCGTCAAGCTTGACATCATTAACAAAAGTAGATGAGAATCATCTCTTGCCAGTTAACATGTCACGACGCAAACGATACAGTAGGAAAAGGTTGAGGCCCGATTTAGTGGATGATGTGGACAATTTCAGAGGTGCTGCAAGTTTAGAAATGTATAGTATGTCCAGCAGTTCTATATCTCTTGCTACTGAGATGGCAGTAATAAACATGGATGCATGCAAGTCCCTGGGCATATCTGTTGTCGGTCATTCGAATGGTCACCAGGGTGATTGTGGCATATTTGTTGGGGCAGTTCGAAAAGGAGGAGGAGCTGACATCAGCAAAAAAATTGAACCAGGAGATTTGCTACTGGAGGTCAATGGAATTGATCTGGAGAAAATGTCAAATGATGATGCTTTATCTGTTTTGAGATCTGAACTATCTAAAGGAGGAATAGCAAAAATTCTTGTGGCCAAATATTGGGACATGGATAAAAATGAAGATGAAAGTGTTAGAATTCTGGGAACATTAGATCAATTTTGTGAACCTGCTGGATCGATTGCGGGTAACAGAGATGGAAATCACAACAATCATAGGAAACCTTTGAGATCGATTGTAGATGATGGTAATGTATCGAGAAGAAGGAAATTTGATGATACATCATTTGTTTCAAATATGAACATGAACCAGTTCATGAGGCCCCATTCAAATCTTGGTCCCCACAATTACAACAATTACCACAACCTCTTAGATTCCTATCAAATGTTGTCTGGATCATCGATGCAAACATATCCTGATTCCGGTTTTCAGGAACCTCGTCAAATGCCAGGTATGAACATGTTTCCCCCATACATCCACAACCCTCTTCCTGTCCCATCAACAACCATGCATAAAAATGTGCATAGACCATTCATGGGACTCCCAGAGGCACGCAGACCATTTCTTGGATCTGAACTGATTGACTGGATCCAGGCAAACATAATGGGGATGTCAGGGAGAAACGAAGCTCGCAACTATGCACAAACCATGCTGGATGCTGGATATATTTCTGGCATGGATAAGTGGTTTCATGAAGATGGCTGGTATGCCATTGTTTCGGGTAATGGTAGCAGTGTCAGTAAATCGCCTTTCTTTTAAATTATTGACTGTTCTGATGTTGAATTGTGAGTTAGTGCAAGTGAACAACATTGTCTAGTGCATCTAGCTTTATTCCATTCATGTGCTTCGGTTCTTTCTTTTTTTTAATAAACTAACATGCCCAATTTTTATTCTATTTTAAATTTGAACTGGCTAACGTTAATGCATAGCATCTCCACTTATTGCATTTTTATAATTTTATACTCTATAGACAACATTTGCTCAACGATATTATTTGTTTTTTTGAAATGTCTAGTGATGAGACAATCATGTTAATGATCTTTTATTACGGCTGTATGGTGCTGCTAAAAAATTATTATACTGTATGTGTTTAATGTTATTCTGATGAGATTTTTGTGTGGTTTTTTAATGTAATGTAGATAAATTCGTCTGACCTATTTGGAGGTGTATCAATGACTGTAAACTCTTTAGTAATATTAGATTCATTTATTTCAATCAAATATAATAAGTCTTTGTACTCTGCGTTGTGTTTTTATATTTAAATTCTTTTTCAAAATAATTATAATATATTTCAAACAATTTTATTTATTCAATAAAATATGAAGAACAGAATTTGAAGAAATTGCGTGATTGGACGCTGGGCATAAAATTTTGTAAATTTGTTCTTGGATGAACCAACATTTCACGGTGCATTAAAACGAACATCTATTTATTAATTTATTTTAGAAGAACCAAAATGCATTAAAACGAGTTTTAGGAAGCATTTCTGCTTGGTGCTGCAAATCAAATTTAATTCATTAATTCAATGTAACGATTTTTCATTAAGTATAACACCATGACCATCTCATAATTCTTGATAAATGTTGCATTGTACAATGAAAAAATAACGCATAAATCATTTGCCGAGACAGTGAGTAGACTAATTTGTTACAAAAACTTCATAGGAAACGAAGTCTAGTAAATCATTTTTATACTATAAAATATCTCCCATCACACTGAAACACAATAAGAGTTGTTAATACATTTAAACATCATTAAGGCACCTTACAAATGCAAAAAAAAGAATTAAGATGCATCGAAATAAACATTTGCGAACATGGCAAGACCGACTTGTGATTTCTGTGTTGTGTTTAATATATAGTTCAGGAGACGGAGTATTGTGATAAATCGCTGTGTTCAATAATGACTACCGAACGCATTTCAAACGCTCGATCCGAATCTTGGCCAGTTGGATGGGTGTTGCTTCAATTAAAGCATATGCAAGGAGCGAGAGGTTCGAAAATTTTAACTGATGAGGAAGTTCGTAAGTGAAAAGAATTTTCAGATTGCAGTTTTTAATACTGAAAGTGGCTAGGGAAGATAAGAAGACAAAGAGCAAAAGACTTCAACTCTGTTGTTATTTTTCCAGGAGACATGCATTTTTGCAACTCCATAAAAATGTGACGCCCCTTTGTACGTTCTTCCATTTATTAGCCCTTAGGTTAATGCAAAGGAATGTAACTGTACAACACAATTTTCATTTCGAGAAGTATTTATGAAAATTTACAGATCAATGCAGAAAGAATGAAAATAATTAACCATGATCAAATTATAAAGTAAAGTGAATAATCTCAAAATATAATGATTTTTAAATGACAACAACAAACTTAATAAGTTAACAATTGGTGATAATGTGAATGAAGTTAATAATGATAACAACGATCGAGAAAATGATGATGATGAATGGCAATGCTGGTGATGATGGATGATGCATGATCAGATCAGTCTGAGGTGAAGGCCTGAATGCCTGTGATGGCACGTCCAAGTATCAGTGCGTGGATATCGTGAGTACCTGAAGGGTTGATTGTTCGTATGTTTGCCTGTTTGTTCGTATGTTTGCTTGTTTGTTCATATGTTTGTAAGCTTGTAATATGCGAATTTAACATTGTTATTCAAAATTCTAATTAATATTCTACACAGAACAGTCTCCCTGCTATTAATACTTACATAACAAAACATCGTAAACATCAGCCTCAAACTTCATCTTTGCTCGGCTTGTTCTCATCCTTCTCATCATAATGCTTTTCCCCACCACCACCACCAACTACGTCATCATAATGATGAGAATAATCATTTACAACATCCTCATCGCCATCATCATCACCATCACAAATGGAAACCTTCATATGTGTTGACAGCCTCCAGGTTCATCACGTGCCTGATCACGTGGTACTCATCGGCTATTCCATTTCCTGTTCGTCGGATGTTAACACCATTACGAAGATACGACACGTGAAAATGACAGCATTAACAGAAAAGCAACAACAAATTGACTGACAGTGACAAGAAGAAAACCACTAGAATAAACAGCAACAACAACATTAGTAACAGTAGAAACAACAACAAGTCCATAAACATTAGTAGCAGCAGCAACAACAACATTAGCAACAACAACGACAACAACTACAACGACAAACCTCCAAGCATGTCTCTGGCGTTACGAGCAATGTCGATGCACTTGCCACAGTTGTTCCTCTTGATGAGCGAGATCATCTCGGGGGCTGCTCTGAAAATTTCATTCCGACACATACATAACACAAATTGCTCGGAACGTCATCGAAGTCATCATCGTCAAAAACAACGTCATACCCAACAAACACAACACACACTCTAGAATACACCACAACTCCACAACAAAACTTGATAACACAGATTCGAACTCCAAACTATCAATTGTGATATGCTGTGTATAAGACTGATGCTTCCATATGTCCTTATGAAAGATATACCGTTAACTAAACGGGGAAAAATAACACCTCACACACAAACACACATACAAACACACATAAAAACACACACACATACTCACAATCCTTTGTCCTTGAGTCTGCCAACTTGCAAACAAGCTTGTTGGGCCAGGGTAATTTCTGTCATCATGTCAGCAAGTTTCTTCTGAATCAGCTGGTTCTTCGCTAGTGGTCGCTTGAATTGCATTCTGTTGTGTGTGTATATGTGTGTGTGTGTGTGATGTTGTCGTGTTGTGTGTGGTTCAGTGATGCTGTGGTTTAATAACCAGCCCACCTGTCAAGAACGTACTGTCTGGCAGTGTGGAAACAAAACTCAGCAGCTCCAATGACTCCCCACGCAATTCCATACCTAGCATTATTTAGACATCCAAACGGACCCTGCGTGCGTGTTCGTATGCATTTGTATGTTTGCGTGTGTTTGTATGTTTGCGTGTGTTTGTATGTTTTCGTGTGTTTGTATGTTTGCGTGTGTTTGTATGTTTGCGTGTGTTTGTATGTTTTCGTGTGTTTGTATGTTTGCGTGTGTTTGTATGTTTGCGTGTGTGTGTATGTTTGCGTGTGTGTGTATGTTTGTATGTGTTTGTATGTTTTCGTGAGTTTGTATGTTTGCATGTGTTTGTATGTTTTCGTGAGTTTGTATGTTTGCATGTGTTTGTATGTTTTCGTGAATTTGTATGTTTGCGTGTGTGTGTATGTTTGCATGTGTTTGTATGTTTGCGTGTGTTTGCATGTTTACATGAGTTTGTATGTTTGCATGTGTCTGTATGTTTGCATGCACAGACAAAAAACAAGTGCGAACAAATAAACGAACACCATCGACACAAACATAACAACAAACAAATCAACAAACACAAGATAACCCAACAAACACATTAACAAACAAACGAACCAACCCCCAGTCCAGTAGCGTGGGGCAGCAGATTCTCTTCAGGCACCTTGACAGAATCCATGGCGATTTGACCCGTGATGCTGGCCCTTAGTGAGAACTTGCCATGAATCTGGGGGGTGGTCAACCCCTCCATCCCCCTCTCCAAGATGAACCCTTTGATTTTGTTGCCGTGGGCAAATGATTTCGCCCACACAATGAACACATCTGCTATGGGGGAGTTGGTGATCCTGGTGGCACAGTAACAAAAATGTGTTCTTGTAAAAATGTGAAACCAAAAACAGTATCACCAACATCGTCATCCTCCTTGCACACCTAAAAACACTTAGGCAAACAAGCACACACACAGACAAACACACACACAAACAAACACACACACACACACACATGCACACAGACAAGCGCACCTAAAAACACACACACACACACAAACAAACACTCATGCACACCTACAAACAACAATCACACACACACACACACAGAGAAACATATATACACACAGAAACACATACAGACCACGACTTAGTACCATGAAGTACATAGCACTTGTTCTTCTCATCATAGCTGGCCCTACACTCCATGCCACCTGGGTCACTGCCATGGTTAGGCTCCGTCAGCCCAAATGCTCCTATCAACTCACCGCGTGCTGTGTTGTAGCAGTTGTTGTTGTTGCGGTTGTTGTTGTTGTTGTTGTTTATGTGTTGCACTGTCTTTTGAATTGTTAAATTTTGTATTTTGTGTCCATAGTAAAATATGAATGAAATATTAAAAATAAATGTTATTCAAACTGGTTTTGACCACACACACACACACACACACACACACACACACACACACACACACACAACAAATACATACATCCACCTGAAGACAGTCAACAAGTCAACAAACACACCAAGCTTGGGTAGGAACTTTTCCTTCTGTACCTCAGTCCCATAAGCGTTGATGGGGTGCATGACAAGGGAGGACTGGACACTCATTGCTGACCTGTAACCACTATCCACCCTGAAGGAAGTTTTGTATGTACAGTGTTCATATACTTTTGTACACACATATACACACACATACTTAAACATACACATATGTTATACAAATATACACACACATAAAAACATTTACTCACATAAACATAGACACATACTTAAACATACACATATATTGTACATATATCAATCAATCTTCGTTTAGCATCCAGAGACCCAGTTCCCCCGAGGTAGGACGTATATATTATAAATATATACACACGCATAAACATAGATTTTCTAAAAACACGTAAACTTAGAAACAAACCTCTCAACTTCTTTAGCCAGCAGCCCATATGTGACATAAGAGGTTCCGGCACACCCATAGCCCTGTATGGTCGACCCCAACACACCCAACTCACCCATCTCCCTCATTATCTCTCTGTCAAAAACT